GGTGAAAGAAAAGAGATAGCTTAATCAGCCTATAAAATATATAATAACAAAAACAAGATATAAATTTTGTAAAGTTTTAAGTAATCAATTAAATACCGGTACTTAAATTAGTCAAACAAGCTCAAATAGACCTTTTGATCTAAAATTTAATTGGTCAAATGTATCCAGCATTACCATTGAATTAAAATTACAGTTGAATGGGTTGGTCAAATACTAAATGACATCACATGGGAAATTTTAAAATTGAATCTTGTGTTTGGTGTTAAGATCATTAATACATGTATGATGTACTGTAGCTGAGAAATTAAATAAATTGTCCCTTTTGCTTGAATATTAGTGCTACTGTACAAATTGAAGGGGCACCCCCATAAACAATCAAAAGAAGCCCAGTTGCAGATCTTGGCAATCAAGGGTGTTTGAGGATCTTGATCTTAAGATTTTCATGAAGATCCTCAATGATCTTTGAAGAACCTTGAATAATTTTCACCATGGAATTGCCTGACCACCTCTTTTAAGTACAAAGCAGTGGAAGGCATTGAGCAAACACCAAATTGAATAAAAAATAACAGTTCTTACCTTTACCAGCTTATCACTATGTTTGTTCTCAAAGTGTTTATCAAGGTAATGCTCTGAGTAGAATGCTTTGCCACAGAAGTTGCACACCCATTTTGCAGCATACTCCTGTGTTTTATTTCCCTCTTGAATCCAGTACAAATCCCTGGATGCATGTAGGGGGCATTTATCATGAGGCTCTTGATTCTTGGCTCGGAAAACACTGTAGAAATGCTGGAAAATGATAATGGCTTTCACTTAACATATACTATTAGCAATTTATCCAACTGTTTCAGCAATAATATTCTTAATGTAGGACTGTATCGTTCATCTGCCAGAAAAAACTAACAGAATATAAAACATCTTGCTAACAGTAGTAATTAGCAAACTGCTCCTAATATCCGAATCCATGGTTACTGTCAACTTCTAACCCAGAATTATTAACCTGTATAAACGTTTAATCCTTTAAAATGTACAACTCTGTCTGTATGTTAATTGACCATGAAGACATAAAGCATTGATTTTATTTTTCATTAAAAATATTCAATTCCAGAATAGCTTCTTTGCTTCAAAAATTGGGTCCTCTTTGCTATATACTACAGAAACTCAGGCTGGAGCCAGTTACATATTCATAATACTACAATTTTGATGGAACGCTTACCTCAGCTAATTGGTTTCTCACAATCCTAGAGAGGGGACGTGAACAGTGGGCATTTGTTTCTTGTATACAATGCAGCAACTGAAAGAATATCACCAGTGGACATTTTACATATCTAGAGTTTGTCTGATTATTTCTTTATCTATTAACCATTTGCTTGATTGACATGTTGTAAATTTTGATTAATAGAATGTTAACTTGGCTAATTGGGAAGATTGAACCAACTTAAAATACAACTCTGGTACACACTGAAGTGAAGTAACTGCATCCAAAGTCTATCGTGTCCTTGAAACAAACGCAAATCAATAAGCTGACCTAAGTTAACGACGTGTATTATATATACTTTACGCCTGCATGCAGTCCTCAAATAAATAATAACTCATTGTAGATTAATTTTCATTGATTTCTTTCTGGTTTCCTTCCAACTTTTCCAACTGTCACTTCAATATTAATTCTCTCATAATAAAATGGCCCTTGATAATAGTAGATTTTTGGCGATCAAGTCCTAAAAGTTGCAATATGTAATATACCCTTACCAGGACACACATCAGAAAGATCCATGATCTTGACAATATATTTTGGCCGAAAATCATTGATTTTAGAGTTAAATACAAAGACGTTTTCCAGTGCAAATTTCGCCAATCATTCCGCCATTTTTCAAAACAAACGCCCGCACTACAGTCAGTGGTGGAGAAATGAAAACATGCTCCTGAGTAACTCGTGCCACTCTTCCTCGGTCGTAGACAAGATGGCGAGCTGCGAGCACTGGTTGTAAGACCTCACAAGAGGGTTTTCTCTAAATTTAACGGCTGAAGTGACGAAATTAAGCATTATTAAAAGCTCCTGGGATGGCCCGTTCTAAAAGGTAAGCTCCAATGGTATTTCAAATTGTTTAACTCCTTTGAAAGTGAAGAAAGAGCGTTTGTAAACAACGTGCACGTGCTACATATATAGGCGCGTGGGACATGCACATGCGTGAAGGTTTCTACAATACTTAATCAGAGTCCTAGAACAGTTAAACTACACTGGCAATTAAAACAAGATTACTAATGTCAAATAAAATAGTAACATGCTGTGTTAACTTTTTGAATATGAGATGTGCATGTAGATGTAGAATTCTCAGGTGTTGTAGTGTAAGCTTGCATGACATCCGGCATCCAGTTTGACCAGCTTTTTTGGTCCTCCTGCAGTGGGGGCCAATACCGTGAAACTCTTTATAGAGTATGAATTTAAAAGATTTTGCTGTGAAACTTGGAGGTTTTATAGCATGCCCAAAAATATTTCCTGTGAAGTTGAAGCATGAAGTGGTAATCCCATTTTTATACAAAATGATGTCACTGTGTGTTTATGAACAGTGGGACCATCTTGAATCTGGCATTTTGGGCTTCATGATTTTTGCAGGATGTCATGTCAATATCACCAAACCTGGCTCAAAAATAGTCAAAGTTGATGAAGAGAGCTAGATTTATCTTAAGAAAAATCAAGATTTACAGTTTCATTCTCATGTCTGTTATGTTTTTATTGGTCAAGGGCAGGGAAGCCAGCAAAGAAGAAAGTTGATAACAAAGAGGAAGTTTATGATGAACCAGATCCTGTGAGTGAAGAACAAGCTTTCCTTTGGCCTATTGATGTTTTGTGTTTCTTGTAAATAGTTGTCATAAATAAAAAGTAAAACAGGTCAACCAAGGAATGCATTTTCATGTTACAGTGTTACTCAGTTCATTGATTCAGCACATGCAATGGTACTGTATGTGTATACAATGTGCAACAAATAATATACATGTACAGTTTTACATGTGGCTCAGTGTTTCCCTTTGCATTAGAAAGTAAAATAAAATTTAAGACTTGAGACAGTTAATAATAACAGATATACCACCATCCACAGGCAGAAGATGACTTTTTCCATGATGATGTTGATAAGTTTCATGCTGAAAGAGAAAAGGTGAGCCATAAGGCAATAATGCTAGATAGGTATAAAGTCTGGGTTGGTGCATAATTGGAGCTTACATACATGAAGGTTTCTGTGGTGTGAGGTGACTACAATGAGAGAAGTTACATGTACGGCACTGTATAAGCTACCCCAGTATCTTGCCTGGTTGGCCTTTAGATCACAATGCTTTTTGTAGAATGACCCTAATCAGTACTCCAACTCAGGCATCTCGATGTTCAGTCCTTCTTCAATCCATTAGGTCACTGCATCTCCACTCACTCAGTGAATTTATTACAAACTAACTCTTGCAGCCATAGGAGTCAATGTTTGTCAAATCTGACTTAACTTCATTCAGATTTTCCTAATGGCATTCAGTTTACGTTGGAGTTCTTTAGTTATACAATGTACAGTTATGTACACACTGTACCTATTAGTTTTTCTTTGTATTCCAATCCAATAACTATTCAACATGAATATTTCTGTTGCATACAATAGCATGAAAAAGTTAGGAGTTTTTTGTGACCACATTGTGACAGTTAATGAGGATAAGTATACTGTACATGTACTTTGGGAGACATTTGTGTGGTTTCTGTTTCTTGTAGATTCTTCTAGACAGTACAGCCTACAACAAGGATGGGCAAGAGGAGTCTAGTGATGATGATCAACAGGTATTGTGTTGAAAGTTTTGGAATGATAATAATAATGTTAATTATTGGACTCATCAAGGATAATGTTATACCTGTGGCTTCAGGTGTTTGTTACTTTATTTTAATTAATAATGGATGAGCTCTCTAATGGGGGTCCATGCATTATTGAACGGGTGGGAACCATGTTTGACACAATATAAATAATAACTTTGCAGTCATTTAAAACATTTTTTTTAAAGCAAGTAATGACTAGAATGTATTTGAGGCCATTGCCACTGGGTTCTCTACATATATCTATGATGACATCAAGGAGGAGGAGAAGAAGGAGGGAGAACTAAAGAGGAAAGTGGAGGAAGGGTGGAAGGTAGGGAGGGGAGAGGAGTGGTGGTGAGGATTTTTTCATTGTCGACAGTCTGAAAATCCAAGAGACTGTTTTAGACTTCTTACCTACTTTTCGTAAATTGACAAAATAATTATATTTTGTTACTTACTGCATGCACATTTGTTAATTGTATAAAATACATGTATATTATTCAGAGTGAAATATTACTGACTGTGTTTGAACAGGAATTTTTATTATGGCTCTCTTTTAGGATGAGGAAGTAATGGCACTCAATATTGATGAGTCTGATGAAGAAAGTGAGGATGGTGAGGGTGATGATGATGAGGAGGAGGAAGATGATGACCTCAATATCAATGAAGATCGCCATGGTGAAATTGATGAGGTATTTGAAGTTTTGATTAGTTCTTCCTGCATTTTTAGTTCTGAGAATTTAGAATTAATCCAGCTATTAACTGTTAAAAAACCTCTTTTTTGCTATTGCCTATCTACTTTTGATGGCAAAAGAAGAAAAAGCTTATGTGTAGACCACATGTACAGTGACAAATGGCAATATCACATATTGGTAGTAACTGTTTCAAGTTAATAGCTGAGGGGTTATTAGAGTTCATTCATAAGGTGCAGTGTACATGTGGTGATGACCAGACAGTAAGCAGTATTTAATTTTTTGTGATACATGTACCTGTACATGTACCTCATTCTCTGACAGGAAGATGAAGAAGAAGAAAGTGAAAATGAAGAGGCTGGAGAGAAAGGTAAGTTAGATGTATGTGGACTTCAATGATTAAGAATTCAAGTTCTCAAAGATCATTTAAAAAAGCAAAACGATTTATTAAAACTGTTAGTCATTTTTACGATCACCACTGTATGATACAATGTACAAGCAAGTGGTACATGAGGTAAATTTGGTCAAAATTTGTGCTTGAAATGGGATCACAACACCCTCTTTGCTACCCCGTCAAAAGGTCTAAAGATTGGAATGTTTGTCGGTAACTGCTTCTTTTGTAGGCACTACTTGTCAGAATTCTTCACAGGGACCCTAACTATATGTAGATGTACTGTATGTGAAGAATTCCACGTACTCAGGTTAGTTAGGGACCACATGTAATGTGATTTATTTATTTATTTATTTTTTGTAGGCATTCCAAGCCAGAAGTCCTGGGGTAGAAAGAAAGCTGCATTCTATGATGCTGATATTGTGGAAGAGTATGCAGGTAGGTCCATCCACCTTTTTTTCCTAATCGGTCAAATTCTTTGTCTGTCTCAGCTGTTCTACAATGCAAAAGCCTGATGTTCAGGTCAGATTGATTTGAAATAATTTGAATGAAACGCAGGCTTTCAAACTTGGAGACTCTTACTCTAGATGTGTATTGTGACAATGCTGCAGTTTTAGTCTCTGATTTAAGTCAGCAATGTGAGATCGTTGATATTTAAGTATTGTTGTTGTTGTTGTTGTTGTTTTTGAAGGCTCTGATGAAGATATGGATAAGCTGGCAGAGGAGGAAGAAGAAGAAGCTCTGGCTCTACAGAAGCACATGGCTGCCTCTTTAGAAGAACAAGATTTTGATGCAGCTGATTTTGAGGTTTGTTTGACAGTTTTTTATCACTTTACCTGAATCAAGGGGTTTGTATGAGAACATACAGACTTCAGCTTTTATCTGCCTTGATAATATAGGTGACTGGTTAGGACTTATTGTCATTGATACCACAGGACTATAATTTTAATTCATGGACAATGTTTTTGATTGTAATAATAATGAAAAAATTAGATTATTAGCTCAAGATTTTTTATTGCCTGGTAGTTGACAAGGGTGCAGACCGAGTCAGCTATCATGCATAGAAATCAAGAGTGAATAATCTAATTGTTTTCATATAAATCTACTCATTGCTCAAAAGTTTATTTAAATCCTCTTCACAGAAACTTCAGTAAAGTAAAGGAGTGGCCGCCAGCTTGTTAACAAGCACTCACAGCTCCACTACTCACTATCTACAACAGAATAGATAGTGAGTAGCGTAGCCAATCAGAGAACGCCATTCGTGATAGAACATTAGGAGATTTATACTAATGATATACATATTCAATTTGTGTAAAATTGTACTTTCAGCTTCCAGAAAGTGCTCACAGGAAAGACAAAGACAATGAACTGGACAAGGTACTATAAATGAAAGTATTTCCAACTTCTAAAATCACGATTTATTGAACAGGATCATACTGCACAACATAACTAAAAATATTCACAGTAAGAAACATTGTTCACTTATTATTATTTTCAGGAGAAGATTGTTCAGGACCTTTCAAAGCTGTCGAAAGCAGAGAAGATTCAGGTATTGGGCAATTTAGTTATCTTGTTGCTTGATAAATAAATCTACCAAAAAGTATGAGCCTAACTTCTTGTTCACTCTCAAACTTCACAACATGTACATGTTGTGAAGTTTGAGAGTGATCTCAGTTCTCTCTTCCATAAGTAAAATATTTGAGAGATGTATTTTTAATCAGCTGATATCTTATCTTACGAATAATAATATGATTTCCTCAAAACAATATGGATTTAGACCAGGTTTCACAACCTCTGATTGTCTAATTGACCTTATTGAAGAAATAACTTCCTCTCTTGATAAA